TTGCTCATGCACTGTAAGTGCAGGAGACCTCAATTCTGCTACGAGGAAGCTTGGAGTCGAGACGAGATGGCAGCTCCTTCAGTTTGCGCCGGAGATGCATAGCGTTTCGGTCCTGATGAATGGGACGCCTTCCACCATTTCAAGCCAGGACAGCAAGCCGACGTGTTCTTGCGACGGAACTTGGGTCCCCTCACCTTGGCGAGCTGCAGCGAGCTGGTTCCGATGCAGAGCGGATGTGCCGTACGGGGTGAGCACGGTTTGAACCATGTTCCCTGCCGCTGGAGTGAAGGGCCAGAACCATCTCGCCGCATGGTACGCAATACAAGTCTGAAATGGATTCCAGGCAGTTACTGGAAGCCAGTGAAAGGAGTCTGAGATTGTTGTGGTTGCTAGTCTTTAGGAATGGTTGAAGACAGACGAGCCGCATGAAATGCAATATCTGGCTGAACTTGCCAGCGGTTGGATGGCACTGCAGGTAGACGTCAAGCAGGAGGGATTGTGCAGCATCATCTATGGCGTGCAGATGTCGCGAGGGCCTGGACAGAACGTGTCAGATACTGGGTCAGCTGGCCCATAACACAAATATAGACACAGAGGCGTAGACAGAGATGTGACATCTCCGCTCGCTTTAAGAAGCGAAAGGGAGATGCTCACAAGCTTCTGCTTGGGTTTTCAGAGCAGTAAACCGGGCCTTACAGCTCAATTCGCTGTCACCCCCCCCTCGCTTCTCGGCATTCGTATTCACAAGCCCGGGGAGGTCGCCTCATATCTGGAGCAAGAGATTTTCTCGCTACTAGAAAAGAAGGCATATATCGATAATTACCCCGCCGAACAGAGTCAGAGCGGCTTTTATTCCAGTATTCCTCGTTCCCAAACGGGGAGGGAACGGAATTCCCGGCCAATACTAGATTTGAGAGCTCTGAACCAAATATCTCAAAAGATAAAATTCAGAAATGCTCACTCACACATCCTCTGTTGCGTCCTCGTGCGCCAAACGACTGGTCACATCAGTCGACCTGAAAGATGCGTATTTCCCATCCCCAGTATATTCCCACACAGGAAATATCTGAGGTTCGCTTTCAGGGTTGTCTGTTACGAGTACAGAGTCCTTCCTTCGGTCTGTCTCTCAGCCCGAGAGTGTTTGTACGGTGTACGGAAGCCGCGATAGCCCCGTTAAGACAACAGGGTATTCGCCTGGCAACTTATCTGGACGACTGGCTGCTTCTCGCACAGTCGGAGCAGGAGCTATTACGCAGACGAATGTCCTCGTAAACACCTGCTCGATCTGGGTTTTCGTAATAAACACAGAAAAGAGCATGTTGTCCCCAGCCCAGACTGTACTCTTCCCTGGGCCTACAACTGAATTCGGTGCCTTTTACAGCCCGCCTGTCAGCAGAAAGCGTGAAAGCCTTCAGAGCTTGCCTCGCTCATTTCCGGCTACGCAAATATGTTCTATTCAGATCATGTCTGCGGTTACTGGGGCTCATGGCGTCAGCCATCCTGGTGGTACGACTGGGACGCTTACACATGAGGGAGTTTCAGCGCTGGGTAGCTGCCCTCAGACTGGACCCCGCGCGTCATGGCGCACGGAGAGTGATGGTCACTATTAAATGCGTAATGGCACTGCGCCACTGGCTGCACCCGACTTTTCTAGTACGGGGCGTGCCTATGGGTGCTGTCCTATCGCGGAAGGTGGTCACCACCGACGCATGTCTGACGGGCTGGGGAGGTATTTACGAAGGTCGACCGGTGAGGGGTCTCTGGAGCAGAGACCTCCAACGGTCGCACATAAATTACCTGGAGCTTTTAGCGGTGTTCCTCACCCTGAAACGCTTTCTGCCTTTTCTCAGAGGACATCATGTCCTCGTGAGGACAGACAACACGACCACAATATCGTATATAAACCGTCAAGGGGGTTTGCGTTCTCTCCAGTTACACATGCTGGCACGCAAACTGATCTTGTGGAGCTGCGGTCGTCTCCTCTCTCTGAGAGCGACGCACGTACCAGGAGTGATGAACCTCGGGGCAGATCTGCTGTCCAGAGGTGCACCACTATATGCAGACTGGACTCTACATCCAATGGTTGTGAGTCAGCTGTGGGTGCGTTACGGCCGAGCCGCGGTAGATCTGTTCGCATCAAAAGAAAATGCTCAATGTCAGCTGTTCTTTTCAATGCGCGATTTAAACGCACCGTTAGGCGTGGACGCGCTCGCGCACGTTTGGCCTCCGGTCCTTCTGTACGCGTTCCCACCCCTGGCTCTGATACCCCCAACTCTGGCCAGAGTGAGAGAACAACGCCACACACTGATCCTGATAGCTCCGCACTGGCCTGCAATGTACTGGCTGGCGGAGACATATCAGCTGCTGTGCGGGCAGCCGTGGCAGCTCCCACTACGCAGGGACATACTGTCTCAGGCGGGGGGGACGATCTTTCACCCACACCCAGAGCGCTTGGCACTATGGGCCTGGCCCGTGAGTGGTACAATCTGAATACAGTGGGGCTCCCTCAGAAGGTGATAAACACTATTCAGAGTGCAAGAGCTTCCTCCACCAGGTCTCTCTATGACTGTAAGTGGAGGGTGTTTGAGGATGGTGCCTTCAAAAAGGACACATCTCTTTTCAATGTCCTGTCGGGGTGATTTTATCATTTCTACAGGACCTGATTGATAAACACAGAGCTTTCTCTACGATCAAAGTGTACCTGGCTGCTATTGCTGCATGCCATGTGGGCTTTGAGGGAAAGACGGCTAGCCACCATCCCTTGGTCTGCCGTTTTATGAAAGGGGCTCGCAGGCTCCTCCCTGTTTCCAGGTCACTGGTGCCCTTATGGGACCTGGCAGTGGTTTTAGATGGGCTCACTCGACCTCCATTTGAACCCCTGGAAGAAGCTGACATGAAACACCTGTCACTGAAGACAGTGCTGTTACTGGCTCTGGCATCTGCCAAGCGAGTCAGTGACATTCATGCGCTCTCTGTACATCCTTCATGCACTCAGTTTGCCCCGGGGCAAACGAGAGTGTTGCTGAAGCCCAACCCTGCCTTTATACCTAAGGTGGTTGGCTCATGTACCCCCATTGACATTGAGGCATTTCCTCCGCCGCTGTGTTCCTCTGAGGAACAGCGGCCAAATTTGCTGTGTCCAGTTCGTGCTTTACGCACCTATATGGACAGGTCAAAAGAGTTTCGTTGCAATGACCAACTCTTTGTATCCTGGGCTAACCCTCATAAGGGCAAGCCCGTTACCAGGCAACGGCTCTCCCACTGGATTGTGGAAGCGATTGCTCTGGCTTATACGAGTCAGGGTTTGCAGGCACCAACGGGCCTGCGTGCTCATTCTACTCGTGGACTGGCTACATCCTGGGCTTTGTTCAAGGGTGTTTCCATCCAAGATATTTGTGCAGCAGCGAGCTGGTCCTCACCGCTCACTTTTGTCCGCTTTTACAGGCTAGACGTCTCTGCTCCTAGTGTGGCCCGAGCAGTGCTGGGCCCCGTGTTGAGTCAGAGCTCTAACTGTTAAGTTCTGGTTGGTTTGGTGATTTTCGAGATAAGCTTGTCTGGCAATACGGGAGCTTCAATATCCCATAGTGAGACATCGAACGGAGTGTTATGAATGAGAACTATAGGTTACTTACGTAACCCCAGTTCTCAGAGTAACATGAAGTGAGATGTCTCACCAGACGGCCCTTCTTGCTATGGTGAAGCGAGAAGAGGTGCTTATTTTGAATGACGCTGCGAAGTGGCGCAAGCTACTTATAGGGTGGGTGGATTCCCTGACGCTGACGTCAAGATCACCAGCCAATCAGTATTGGCGTAATGAGATTGATGCCTTCTGTTTGCATACGCGTTGACGGGCGCATCCCATTCCCACTAGTGAGATCATCTCACTTCCATGTTACTCTGAGAAACTGGTGGTTACGTAAAGTAACCTAATAGTTTTCTGCCGCGCCTCCTCCATTTGTTCTCTGTTTCTCTGTGTTTACTATGTTCATGCTAGCAGTGTGTTTGTGTGCCACTGGTACTCAAGAGGAACAAGGTCAGCGCGGTGTGGTCCAATCAGTCCACTGCCAAACAAAAAGGCAGAGGTACACAGCGAACAATGGATAACTATATGGCTCAGCGTTTCTTTTGATTCTGCTCCCGGAGGTGAGAAAGACTAATTAAGGCCCCTCATGGCAGCGGCGTACAGCAGTGGCATTACCCCGCCACGCTGCACTTGGCGCTTGCCTTGATGCATTGTGGGAGCTGAGTGATGACGGGCTCAACGCTTGGCTCACTGTGTATTTGATTAGTCTGAGCTAACCTTAAACGCTGGCTGATTATTAATACGCCGGCCGAGACGGACCCAGGGAAGCCAGTCGGCACAATTCGGGCTGTGTCAGCGATTTTCCCTCGAAGCTATACACACAAACACACACATATACTCTGGAAACCAAAGAGAGCAGGAGGGAAAATACTCGATATTGATAGAAGTAGAGGGCATTGCTTGAGATATTAAAGCAGAGAAGTGCCTTTGTGTGTGTTTATTCTTTTTAGAAACCAAATCCTTCTTTTATTGGTCCTAATGCTTCTCTAACAACTCTAAAAACAATTTCATTTTTCTCCCCACTTCGTTATTTCCTTTTCTTCCCGGCCTATTGGATTTGTTGCCCCCTAACTCCTCTTACCTTAGCGGTAAAGGACCGTCAAATATGAGACTCTATTTTGGTTGAAATTGATGATATAGGAAGGCAGTCTGCGAAAGGAGAAAGCAAACAGTTTAGGAAGTTGTGGGGCGAAAGAAAGTATTTGCTACTCACACTTTTGGCAGTGCATCGAGAGTAAATGAGATATTGCGTTGTGTTGTGGTGTGAGATACCAGTGAGTGTTTCTGGACAAAACCTGTCCAAGCCTTTAAATTGATGCCGCAGTGCCGGCGCCAGTAGACTCCCTCCGGCCACAGCCCGGCAGGACTTCATGTTCAAGGTTTGCTGCCAGACCAGACATAATGAGGGGGGGTGTCATTATTGGTTGTTGAGTTGTTGTGGCATTAGCCCCACAAAAGCGATAGCTTCAACATCTATCGCTCTGCCATGCTTAGCCTTGTCTCCTCTCGGTTGGTGTTCCTCCAGCATGACGCCCGCGTTCACTAATAGGCCAAGAATCAGCGTTTGTAATCTGTCCAACAACATTCCCTGCTGGACTGACAAGCCTCCTGGCTCCACACATATGCACTGACTTCTACCCTCACATGCTGTGCGAGAGCGTACCACCATATAAGATATTAACGGGTCTACTGCAGCATCTGCTCCCCCTTACCAACTGCCCTGTCCTCATGTCTCACTCAAAAAACTCGTCTGCCCACCCCAGACAGGTGGCTACAGATGACGATTCTCCACCAGACAAATCTTCCTGACATTACCCATCCCCACTTTCAGCCCTCCCGGCGCCTTCCTCAATTACTTCAGCTCGTCCATTGGTGGAGGGGCTACGCAGTTACACTTACTTTGGAAAACGTCCAGGGCAATCTGTTATTTATATCTGGATAAGGATGGGTTTAAACGAGTTCATTTGTACAACCTGCATTATTCAAGTGATGTCTTGTTAGGGTTGTGCGCGTGTCCCCGGAAGAGATGGTCATTTGTTTTCCCCAATTAAAACGCGGTGTTTTCTCAATCAATTGTATTGTTAAGATTTTGTATGTCATAAATAAAGTTATGATAACAAGTTAAAAATCCTGGGAATCTAGACTTTAGAAAACGTTTTTACACTCTCTCTCTCCCGATGATTAGAATAACGGCAGAGGTCATCCACCAGCCTGAAAATTAGTTTAGTTCGTTACTTTGCTAATCCTGATGTTTCCTACTGCTCTCCTCAGTTTTCTTACAAAATTGTTAAAGGTATACTGTGATTTAATCTAGAGAGGGGACTAAGAAAAACATTGAACACCTCTTGGGATTTTAACTGTGTATAAAAAAAACTGTACCGTAATTTTCGGACTATAAGCCGCGCACCTGAATATAAGCCGGCAGCAGCGCATACCACTCTCGGGTTCCATCTCTTTACTTTGCGGCGGGGCTACCCTCTCTCCTCTTGTTCCGGCCTCCAGCTTTCCTGCTGGAACTCCGCCGCTTAAAGGGTGGTGGTCCCGGCGACCGGCCATTAGAGCCCCATAGAGGTTAAAAGGGTTGCGTCCGTTAAGCTGCTATAAAAAGTCCATAGATTAGCCGCACCGTTTATATAAGCCGCAGCCGTCGACAAATAGGGGAACCAACGTCTTCTTTCGGGGCTTATAGTTCCTGAAAATAAATTACTGGTAATTCTATGTTTTATCTTGGTTACCATACCATTTTGCTAATAAAATATTTACGCTGCAGTCGAGGTAACATAAACAGCGCCCGCAAAATCCCACTTTCTATTTCTCTATCTCTCGTTCCATTCAGTCATCGCAGTGTGGACCAGGCCGAAGCTGGATTATGGGAGCAAGTTCCCAAAGGGATGGGTCTTACGCTGCAGTGATGGGCTAAAGATGGAAGGGAAACCCCCGCCCTCAACGGCACGTCCCTGTCACCGGTCGGAGGTGATTGTAAGTTCAACCCTGCAAATCATGCAGTGGATAGACTTTTAACATTAAACAAACGCTTACCTTGTTTTGAGTGTTCGTTCATCGATATTGCGACCACGCAAAGTCACAGTTTTAGGCAGTTGCAATTTTAAATGTGGGATCAAGGCAGCTTGGCAGAACCAGAGCACCACCATGACAGGACATTAGTTCTGTTTTTTTCCGATGGACCACCTCTGTCTCTGCAGACACCGTTCCACCGCAGGCCTTTGAGATTAAAAAATTAAAAAACATTAGCAGTCTGCCATTCACTATTCCAAGCTGGTGGAGGAGAAGGCCACCTTTTGACAAGTTGGCGCTTGGGCTTCTTTGTAAGTGGGAGAAACAAACTCCCACAGGCTGGGGAAAGAACAGCTCACCTTAAAAACAAAATACTTGCTTCTTCTGTTCTCCATATAAAATTACAACATCTGGGGTGTGTTAGGTGGGAAGGTTGAAAAAACACATTGCAAATGTGATGGTAGTGTTGCAGGGTGGGGTCTCAGGCATATGCTAACTAGCATTTTCTCTACCCTGTTTGGTGTTTTATTGCATTACATGAGTCAGTTTGTTACGTTAAAAACACCTATTCACAAGTCCTGCACTTAACTTAAAAAAAGTTAGATATTGATCTGCTATATCAACGAATAAGCAAGGTATTTCCCTGTAGGTTGAAACCATTCCCAGTGTTCCTTGTTTGTAAATGTTGATGTACTGGACAAAGCTGTTTTTTTTTTTACTGAATAGGTTAATGCTACTGACATGGATCATGGGTGTCTAGTTAAAAGCGGGCCCGTATTATGGGCTATGTCTCCTCTAATGGTGACATGCGTTTAAATTGTTCAAAAAGCCGCTCTTTCATTCTTTTCTCATGGAGGCGTGGCTGGTGAGTTTGGCCCTGCTGTTGAAAATCGAGCCGGTGCGCGCGGCTTTGTTTATGTGGTGTGTACAAGCCTGGGCTGGGCCTCCTTGTTTGTGATTGGGTCCAACCCGTTTAAGGAGATGGTCCCCGCCCTTAGCGATCATGGTATCAACTGTGGCTGCAGCACTAGCAAATTGTAGGGAAAGCGCAACGTTACATTAGTTTGATCGATACTATGTTTACCGAAGTTAATATAAGGTCCACTGAGGCGTTTCAGGCAAGGGGAGGGAAACCTCGGCCTTTGGAGGGGAAGCTTTGGGATTTTGCCTTTGCAGTGTTACGATGCACAAAACCTACTATAGATAGGGATAGATTGCAATCCATGGGGATTTTTATCAGCGCTTATCCTCATTGCTGCAAACGGACTGCTTTACTATTAAACACAGGTACTTTACTCTTTAGACCTCAGCCCTCTATTCCAGTGTCATTTATCATTCATTGTTAAACCATGTTCAGTTCTTTGGAGCAGTCTATTTCTCCATACAGTTTCCGTTTATTAGAGCACAACATTACATAGCTAATGTTTATACAAACACAGTGTTACGATTATGATACAACAACAAAGTAGATTGTCCTGCAGTTGACATAGTGCGTACATTTTCGAGCGATAAATAATCTTATATTCTCCATATCCAGTTAAATTATCTCTCGGTTACGGCCGAATTCACTTCAGAGGGATAAAAACAGATTCCTTTTTTTATCAAGTCGGCTTTAAGACTTAATGGTGTAATACTGAAAGTTAGGCTCTCAGTATTATGGTTTTGTGTTTGTATCATAGCCTTTCTGCAGGGAATCCTTATGCATCGTATGTTTTTTTGGTTCAAAGAAAGGGTTAGCCAAATAGTACAAAAAAGAAATTGTCTTGTTGGTCTGCTCTTTTCCTCTTAGCTTGAAATCGTTCGTCCCAATTTGACGCTTTTTAAATCATATCTCGAAGCGGTCGGGTGTTTTTGGCAGGAAGCATTAATGACTCTCGGCACTGCAGCAGACACGTCCCGTGACCAATCTCTTCACAGTTATCGCCCACATTCAAAGGCAACACTCTCAAGAACTTTAAAGGACAATCTTTTATCATTTAAGTTCCTCTTCAGATGTAACGCTGAAAATGTGAGCACTGGACTGGTAGAGAAACTAATGTAAGCTGTTTCATTCATGGTGCAGACTGAATACAAATTAAGAGTGTGCCGTTCATATTTATTTCATGCCCGATACGCCGTGTGCTGACAGAGTCAGCAGCCTCGTTCCTGACTTCACTTACGATATTGGATTGTCACAATTGTTGCCTTTCCCTCTGAATTATTCTAAGTTCCTTTTGATCCATTGTCTGGACTTCAGCTTTTGTTTGCAGTTTTATCACACTGTGGCCGCTTGTATCCCAAGCTTTCCCAGTTCAGTTGGGCTCTTTGTCATTCTTATCGCTAAATGTTCTTCTTTAAGAACTTAGAAGAAAAGTCAACAGCCGTGTTCATGAAACCCACCAGAGCCAACAGAAGTACTTTAATATATAGAAGTTGAACAAAAAAAATAAGTGAACTCTGCCAAGGTTCTGGCTCTTATTCCAACAAGATATTCTTTTTGCTTGTTTTTTGCCCAAACCACTTGGTTGCATCCACTTGCACCTTTTTACTTTTGTTATCATGTCATGTTTATTTGTTCCGTTTTCTCCCAGTTTAAAAGATGTTCATGATGTTTTGCTTATGCAGTCTCCTGTCTCGATGGGTTTCGGTTGAATGCTTTCCCATGTTTCTCTCACACGATACTCGTAAGCAGTGCCTAACACCCGCTGTAATGCATGCCTGATTACAGATGATGAACTGTTTTTCTGATAGTGTTGCCTTTTAATTAGCCAAAAGGCTGGGAACTGATCATGTCCTGATTGCTCTATTGCGGACTGAACCAACATGGTCTTTATTCGTGTGACTTTCATACACATGTATGGACACATTCAGATTTTCATATTCACAGCTATATATGCCATGTTCATATGAGTTTGAATAATTTCTTTTGGGTCCTACCATGGACAAATGCAAAAGCCAACTGCATGATCTAATGCGAACCGCAGTTTTGTTGTATAAATGTATTTCTTAGTCGACGCTATAAACTGAATTTTGCGATCGTTTTTAGCGATGAGAGGAGTCCTTATCCAGAGTAGAGGACGAGGAAAATATAAATAACAATATAATCTGCGTATTAATAAAAGTTTGCCAACTGATGCATCCATCTAAAGCGCATTTGTAAATAAATGTGTTGTACTATCATGCTACTCCAACGCCTTTTTCTCGCCTCCGCGTGTGTCTATTTTTTCTGTATTTCAAATAAAAGCGAACACGAATGTTCGATCTTTGCTTAAATGACGAATAACCCACCATAATGAAGTTAGCCTACGCGCAGTCAAAATAGAATGAGCAAACCCTAACAGTCCACCAGACTCCCTAGATTAAACAGCATTCTTTGTACCGTGGACTCTCACGTACGCTCATCGAGTCTGTCCCCTGCATGTACGGAAGAATCCATGGCAGAGTATAGAGCAAGTAACTTGTGTACGTACATATAACATGATAGCACAATCGCACGGCGGATATGTGATACGTATATCAGTTATGAATGCCAGCTGGAATATTCCTGAGCGATTATATGCAAAGGGACAGTACGCAATATATGCTAAATAGACGACAAACGGACTGCCCCTTACAGGGATGAGGGCCGAGAAATATTGTTGTTGAAAGAGAATGAAGGGCGCGCAATCTGCGCTGAATGCAAAAGAGATTTGTCGTTCTCCTGGTCTAGTGTCTCTCTCTCTGTCTTCCTCCACAGTGTCTCTGAGTCTCTCCGACTCGCACAGGCTGTTATATAATTCTAGTGGGCTAGGACAGCATCACACATCGCTCTCGAGCAACTCCGCTTTCTAAGCACCGAGATGCCACTGGGCGTAATCGCACCAGTAAGCCCCCCTGTATAAGTGATAATGGGTGCCAGTGACTGTCTTGTTTAAAGTGGATAGACATTTCCTCAGCCCCGGCCACGCAGTGGAGCTCTCCATATCTGCCGAATAGCCACGACAACTGGCGATGAGGTTGTGTGGAAAAGATTCTAAGTTCAACGAGTGGGACGTTGTGAGGATGGTTCTCCTGTGATATGAGA